TAAACGGTGAAAATCTACCTTTGACCTGACCTGTGACGTCATCGGTTTGACCGAGGTCAATGAAATTGGGTCACAAGGTAGTTCCCCGTTGGGGCTATCCAACACCGTTTACCGCTTGTCGCTATGTTGCGTGGTTCTCGAGATCTGAGGGGGGCCAAAATGCCCCCCCCCCATCAGACCGCGCTGCTCGGCAGACCCCATCTGGGCGCGAGTTAATATTTCTGTGGCCACGAGCAATTCGCATATATAGAAAATTAATGTCAAACACACTGCATTCTGCAATGCCAGCTGCAGGAAGCATTCAGTTCAGATACCTCGAGATACAAGATACAGGAACAGATACAGGCAGAAACACAGAAAGGTACCTCGATACAATTAGGTACGACGAGCTATTGATGATTTGGAAGCACATTTAAAGTAGATACGGCTGCATAGCATCATGTACATTATATGAACTCCGATGCCGATAAACTCATTACATGCTAAGCCTCAGGTGTGCACTTGGAAGAGAAATATCATTCTCGTTACTTCATTCCTACTTCATAACAGGGATTCTTGAAGAATGTACGAACGCTATGTACATCAGCACTAGCATTCCACGTGCCATGCAAGGTCGTCTACAGAGGCTCATTCGAACTGCAAAGAGTGGCCAGTGACCGTTTCTTTGTTGGTCGATAGGGGAATGACTTACAGCGCCCGGCGTAGGTAAAGAGCCGTTATGAAAAGGGCGCCTTAGTAGTAACACCGTCCGACTACAGCTAACAGCGAAGAAAACGACTAATAGCCTACAGTAGGGAAATGCACTCTGAACATGCTGCTCACAGGAAAGCATGTGTTAAATGCCGAGAACCGGTATGACTTAACAGAAAGCGAGGTTACAAGACGTGTTCTTCCTTTTGCATGCATGCATGAGCTGAAAGCTGTTCGGCGTCTGAGAGCCAAATCTTTAGTCTATTGCAGAAATCAATGTTTTCAGGAAAATTTATCATTTTCGCTTCACGTAACATGCGCATTTGCGAGAGGCTTATGATGATGCTATAAGCATCATAACATCGTCCATGTCTTTATGCGTTATGTTGTCTGTACTGTCTATATCGTGACACCAGCTCACCGTCTTCCTGAAAAAAGCATCCCACCGCGACCAAAACAACCACTTTGCAGCAACTTACGCCAAACTGCCGGCAATATACGTCGGGATCAGCGCGGCGCGACACATCGCGGCCAATCCATCAAGATCACAATTCGATTGCCGGCTGATCTGGCGATGCCCTGCCGACTGGCGGGCTTGCGCAGACGAGCGGCCTGGGCGGTGACTGGCGGTCCGGAGACAGCCCGCCAGCGCCGCTCGCCGGGACGGCCGTCGAAATACGGCGAGCCAGTCACCGGAATCAGCGAAGCGCCCGTAATAAACCGACGGCCCGATCCCAGATAGAATTCCGGCGTGAAAGCGGCGTCTTAGTCGGGCCTGCCGGCGGCCGTATCGGCCCCGCATCAATGGGAGTCGCCGCCGTGCCATTCGGCCGGCCGGCCGACTCGGCGCGGCGTATGACGGTGGCGGTGACGTCCAAATACGGCGACACAGAATCAGATAGGAGCCGGCCGGGACTGACGTAAAGGTCGTACACCGTGATTAACGTCTCTGCAGCTTCGACATCTGCGCCTGACACGGCCGGAGGCTAAAGACGAGTTCACTAATAGATCCAGAGCAAATTAGAACGTATCTTATTGGACGGCTTTCATACCAAATGTTAGCAAGCTGCAGAGGAAGGATCAGTTAATGTTGATAACAATTTTAGTAACAAGCGCAGTTATGAAAAATCAAAATAAATACTATTTTACTTCGTAACAAGCACCGTGGTTACCACTTTAGGTAACAATGCGACACTTCTCATGACACTGCGGACTTTTGCAATAAATAAGAAACTAGGAGAATGTCGATCCGAATAAATAAAATACCAATTCGCATCAAAGGCCCTTTTTGCCACTGCATGTCGTGCTGCCAATGAATGGAAATGTGGCATTCACCATAGAGATCCTATATGTAAGATCTCTATGGCATTCACCACCACTGGAATGGCTTATAGGTACATATGTAGTCAAAGCGTTAGATCAATCAATTCGTTCTTTATCCAATCAGTATTCCACTTATTTTTGTTTTAAGTGAGCTCGCTCTTCATTGTTGGCTCTTAGCCACTCAAAGCTTTTCTAATTTTTCGCTTCTCAACACATCGAATCGTCATCTTCACACTAAAGCACTGCTTCAGTATTCAATTCCTTTTGCATCAGTTTTATAGTTTCCCTGACTTCTTCTCTTGCATAACTGATAACGGAGATAACGGAGATCGCATGATTCGGATACTGCCTTTATTCAGCATCAGTTTTATAGTTTTCCTGGCTTTTATTGCATAACTGATAACAGAGGCCCCTGTGCATATTTACATATTCCTAAACTGATAGTCGCGCATATATTTTAGAACATACCTAGAAAGAATCGTCACAGCAAGCCATATTAGGACGCGTGCCTATTGGTTGGATGATCTGAATTCTGACCCGGGAAACCATACATAAGACAACACTCGACAAATTATAATTAAGCTCAGAGCAATAACACTGTTGTCGGGAGCTAACAACAAAGTTTCTGTCATGTCATGATATCCAAAAACGAGCGTCATGTTGGTATATAGGAAGGTGATGTTACTGTCAGCTTTTAGCTGATCTATTTCATACCGCTGCTCCCCGTACAAATTCTTGAGTCACTGCCCGTCTGAAGTATGGCCGTTTACTTACGTAACGCCACCGCACCAGCTGCGTCTGAAAGATTTAGAGATAAATAGAGCTGAGGGGAATAAACCAGAAAGCTTAATTACTTCAGAGACATTGTTCTCACACCGAGCGAAAATTGGATCGCCTAATTTTGGGAGCGATCGTACTTCAAATCAAATTTGTTTGTAAAACTCAAAGGGCTTCCTATAACTGAAATGGTTTCAACCGTCAACCCTTACAACTGATAGTGCGCTCGGAATAACCGCAGGCGGTTTGAAATTGACAAATACGATTCGTTAGAATTGTGTTTTAATCAGAGATCGTTATGTGAGAAGGGTTTGTGCTTCGGACGTGTTGCTCTGTACTGACGCATGCATGCACTAGTCTGTCGGTCGGCTGGTCGATCGGTCCTTTGGTCAATCGGTCGGGACGACCGGTGATTCGATCGGTCTCCGGGTCGGCTGGTCTGTCGGTCGGTCGAATTCAGTCGTCCGTTCATTCGGTCGGCCCTTCATTCGTCCAGACGACTTTTGGTCGGTCGGTCGGTCGTCTGGTCGGCGGTCGGTCGGTCGGTCGGTCGTCTGGTCGGCGGTCGGTCGGTCGGTCGGTCGCTCGCTCGGCATTGCGTCGGTCGTTTGGTCAGGTGGTGGGCGCCGCTATAGCTCTCGGCCAACAGATTCATCACCTCTCGGCCGGACACCACCGGTGCCCTGGGGGCCGGCCGGCTGAGAAATGGCCGTCATCACGCCATCGCAGCCGGACCGGGCCGACGGCGCGGCCGCCTCCGGGCCTCATCAGCGCCGCGCCGACCGGAGATAGCCGGCCGCCGGCCCCGACCGGGCTGGCGCACCCTATCCCATCATATAGCACCAGTCCCGACCGGACCATACCGCCTCCGCCCCATCACGACACACCGGCCCCTGACCGGCCGGGACTGCGACCCTATCCCATCATAGCATAACGGCCCGGTCCTCCTCTATCCCATCAGAGCACACCGTCCCGTTCTGCCCCCATCCCGTCACAGCACACCGTCCCATCCCGTCACAGCACACGGTCCCCTTCTTCGCCCCATTCCATCACAGCAGCACATTGGTCTGGCACACCTCCACGGCACACCGACTCCGACCGGGAGTGGGCCGCAATGTGGCGGTCATTTCCGCCCCAAAGGGCGACACAGTGCTATTTCTGTCCTCCTACCTTTGTTTCTCTCGCGTTGCGTACCTGCTTCGCCCCCATTCCATCCCCATTGCATCACTCGTAGTTCTTCTCTTTGCTAAATGTATGTTCTGCTAATATTCGTTCTATTTCCGTTCTAGTTCTTTTGTAGTTACAGATGTTTTTGCTTCGTCCCGCATCAGCAGCATTTTTTTTTAAGCACATATAAGTCTGCCCGTCATTGGTCGTCGGTTATTGATTTCGAGTGCTCTGGCCTCTGGTAGGATTGGTAGGCTAAAAAATCGATATAAATTTAATGAAGTAGGCATTTTTCTGATGAAGTATATTTGAGAAACTTATATGACAAAACAATGACATTCTCCGCATGAAATCCTTTTTTGAACTCAAACAAAGACTGCGGCTCAGGTATTTCCCACAGGTCTTCGTTTTAGCGTTTTTATATCGCCTGCCCCGAACCTCTAAAATACCACACGACGCTTCATTCTCCTAAACTGACCATGAAGCCAATCTAATGAAAGCGATGGCCAAACTTCCATTTCACTCAATTGAGAGCCAACCACCATTTAGGCCAATTCCGGAAATCCCTAAGCGGCATTTGCAGCTAAAATATAACTGGGAAAATCCAGCGGCCAGAGTTCCCGTAATACCCTTTAGGAGCGTCATTTCCTGGGCAGAGGACACTAGAGGAACCGTTTGGCTAGCTGGAGCCGACCGGTGACCACCGCAGATGTTACCATCCAGTCGTGAGCAGGGACCGTTCCAGTGGCGAGACAAATGTTTATTGCACGACGGTGTGTTGCTACTGAATTGTTCCGGTTGTAGGTTGGACTAATTGGATCGTTGGTTGGTGTAGATTGGCGAAACACAATTTGATAATTTAATTAAGATCAGAGCATGTCAATTGCGGTAGCAAGCGAGTTCACATGAACATTTACGGGCTAGGTAATTTGTAATTTGACTGCAGGCCTCCTCCGTCCAACCCCGCAGCCCGTGGAGCCACCCCTTCACCCTTCCGAAGCCCGGATCCAGTTAGTCCTGACCTGTCTGCGCTGTCCGCAGGTGGCGGTGCCGAGTGGGTAAGCTGGCGGTCAGCCGGCCGGATGATGCGGCGGCTGGCTGCAGCAGCTCCGACCGGGCCCTGGCTCCTGGCTGCCGTCCTGGTCGGTGCCGCGCTGGCGCAGCATTCGGTGCTACTCGACGGCGAGCTCATCCTGGGCGGCCTGTTCCCTGTGCACGAGCGCGGCGAGCACGCGCCGTGCGGACCGAAACTCTACAACCGCGGCCTGCAGCGGCTCGAGGCCATGCTGTTCGCCGTGGACCGCATCAACAGCGACGACTCGCTGCTGCCGGACATCCCGATCGGCGTCAACATCCTGGACACGTGCAGCACGGACACGTACGCGCTCAACCAGTCGCTCGAGTTCATCCGCACCTCACTGGATGTGATGGACACGGTGTCGTTTGAGTGCGCCGACCTCTCAACCCCGCAGCCCAAGTACCGCAGCAAGCCGGTCAGCGGCGTGGTGGGCGCCTCCTACAGCACCATCTCCATCAACGCTGCCAACCTGTTCAGGCTGTTCCGCATCCCGCAGATCTCACCCGCCTCCACGGCGCAGAGCCTCAGCGACAAGTCGCGCTTCGAGTTTTTCGCGAGGACGGTGCCGCCGGACACGTTCCAGGCCACGGCGTTGGTGGACGTCGTGCAGCTCTTCAACTGGTCCTACGTCAGCACCGTGGCGTCTGAAGGATCGTACGGCGAGAGTGGCATCGATGCCTTCCAGCGTCAGGCCGTCGAGAGGAACATCTGCATCGCGGTGCTGGAGAAGGTGCCACGCGACGCCGTCGCCAAACACTTCGAGGCCATCATCCTGAGCCTGAAGAAGAAGCCAATGGCCAGAGCGGTGGTCCTCTTCGTTCGGGCGGAGGATGCGAGGTAAGTGTTGGCTGTGTTCTTAAAGCAATTCGTGTGAAATAATTGTTTTGATTTTTTGGTAATGCTCACAGTTACAAAGTTTTCTATGCATAATGCATATTCACACAATAAGTTTTCTAATGAAGGCAACCTTATGAAGGCAACCTGACTGACAGTTGACACTATACAGTAACTTCACTGACTCTGACGAGAGTAACTACAATGATGGCATGAACTTGTCTTCAGGCATCTGTAAGATACACTAGGCGACTAAATGAATATGAAGTCAGCTTCTCTAAATCAGCTTGACAGGCTATCAACGCTTAATTAAGTAGTTTTTCAATCGAGCCCTTTGGAACTATGTGATATCATTTAATCGTTATTCCGTGGAGATGATACACCGCATCTATTTCACTCTCGCTTCAGGGACATCCTCCTTGGCCAAACTGAAGCCCGAAGTTAAGCGTAGTTTCGTTGCTAGTTAAAAGTTGGGCCTTTTTTCGCAGTGTTTGCAGCCGGGCGGAAAGGCGTCAAGCCTGAAAAGTGTTTGGCCATTAGCGCTCTGGATAAAAATATCCGCTTTCCTTCTCTTAGTGGATTGATTTTTTTTCCCCAGTTATAATTGGAAGTCCGTGCACAGGGCAAAGGCATAATGCATAAAATGCAAGTTGCCATCGTTGAGACGCTTTGAGACAAACCTTGTGCAACCAGATAAAGTTATTTTCCTATATGTAAGCTCGATAGCTCGTATGTGCAGTGTGCAAATTGTAATGCGATCCATGACTGCCAGACTAAAAGGTTGTGTCGCGACCAAAGCATGACTAGACGAGCATGCTAATGAGGACTGAACACATACGGGCTATACATATCATCCTGTTGTTAGCACCGCGATCTCCATTCTCCTGGCAGGTGGTTTTAGCTAACTGGTAGCCCGGTCCTCACTCCCCCATCATTTGACACCGCGCCGGCCGAGGCTTTATTTTATGCGCCATTCTCGGCATCGCTGTCGGCCCCCGCGGGGTTTGACCTTTGACATCGGGCCGGTTTTATGATCGCCGGGGCGGGTGACAGCGCTGGGGGCTCCGGCAGCGCCGGTGACACCCAGTGCCATCTCTATTCAGTCACGGTGCGGACAGCCACGCGCCGCGATCATCGTATATCATGCGTGATGACAATGGAGGGCGATTTGTTATACAGCGGTACACAGTCGAACACTGAAACTGATTAACCGCGCTTTAAAGACAGTGGCTTCCGATACCTGTTGCTCAATACGCCCTTTGATTTCGGCGATCAATGTGAAGTACTCCACGAACTCTCAATGTGACGTCCTTTTTCACAGAAACGGACGAAACCTGGCAAAGTTCCACAATAAAGTGACTGAGGAATCTTCGGAATATCTCGAACACCTTGAATCCCGGCGCTGACAATCGCTGGCATGTATTAGAGCCACAGACAAAATAATAAATGTATGCCATCACAGAACTGAAAGAGGTCCAGACAGCCTAAAGATTTTCAATTCAGTGGGCTATTCGGCTTCCTAGAACAGCGAGTATCATGAACAGAAAAGGCCTGCTATCGGTGGGACCATTCTCGCGTCAGCCATATTCATCTGCGCATTTCGTCAAGCGTCGGTGAAGTTAATATGGAGGCTTTCCCGACCAGTAGAAAAAAAATCATGTCAGCAGCAACAACTGAGAAGGCCCACTCAAATTTGGCAATTACGGCTGTTTGCGTTATAAAGGTGCCTCTCTGTTGCTGCTGCTCCACCTCTGTTTCTGTCTTGCGCCACGTTTGTTCCTGTCACTGTGCTGTTTTGTTGCCGCGACCCCGGCCGCAGTGGTGTGAATGAGCCTCACCCAGGCCATAAGCTAATGACGGCGCGATTCTAGGGCGGCTAGTAACGAGATCCATTGCAGTGGACCGGTATTTCCAGGGCTGCATCAATGCCGCAATTGGAGCCACGACTGAATGAGAGTCCGGCCCTTGTACGGATTATCTATTTCTGGCTACACGCTAGAGGGTTGATAGGACACACACAAAATGGCTAAAGCCGGAGCTACACTTGGCAGTGGATATTGCACATCGCTTGGATCTGCGTTCGCGTTAGGCTCGCAAGGGCGAGCTCCCAACTAACGTTGGGCCGACGTTGGATCGTTAACTGTAATGTGTAATCCGCATCGTAACACCCGAAAGGCAACATCCGAGTGGCCATTGTTTCGCTGAGGCGGCGTTCTTCTCGGGCGTCTGTTTTGCCATCTCCCCACCGATCCGGATTCCGACGAGGTGAGAGAGAGCTGGCAATCGTATTCCCCCTCTCTGGGCCGGATGAAACGCTTCCGTCGCGCCGCCGCATTATATTATCACCGTCGCCACCGTATTTCCAATAACAGCGCCTCAAGTCGCCCAGTTCCTTTCTCCTTTTCTCAAATTGCTCCTGTCATCCGCTAGCGGACCTGCACGGATGGCTCGACTAATATGCGCCGTGTGCGAAATTCAAGATCCACTCCGACACAAGCGTTCAATATACATGCTAAAAAGCAGGGATCTGAGGAGCGTTGGATTAAGACACGAGCTGGCGTTGATTTGGTGTTGTTGCAGCTCGCCAATAATAAATCATGTATCTATATTTGTGTCTGTCTAATATAGGGCTATTAATTGCATGATGCTTTTTGATAGTAACTTTGGCTGCAAAATGATTGAACCGATGCAGCTAATGGCAATACTTATCAATCAATGATCTCGGGAGATGTTAGCAAAAGCTCTAGTGTTTTTAGAGATCATTGTGAATCATTTCATTTCAGACCCATTTACTACGGTCATTTCTTTTTGCGCATATCTTTATCTATCTTTATCTAAAATCGGTCCTGAAGGATGCAATTAAGCTGAAATTAGGTACCTAGCTGGTCGATGTGACCGTAAGTGAAAAGCAGGACTCTCTAAATGTATTGCACTCCACACAAGAACAGAAAGCGCTCTGCAATTTGTTATATTGCATTCCTTTTTCGAGCACATGTTCATCCACTTCTGCGGAGTGGCGCGACATTTGTCCGAATGCTGATCGATAGGAGAACGCCTAGCATTGACGTATACGGTGAAATATTCATCCTGCTAAAATTACCGCCGGCCATTTTCCCATTAAAGCACTCCCAACATATTGCCACGCTGGTAGAAGGCCATGATTGGCAGCTGACGATACAAAGCGACGAGCCATTCTTTACATTGTTACGTTTTTTCTCGTTTCAAGTAAAAAAGGGTAAAGGACATTTCAGGACGATTGATAACTGCGCGCTACACAAAGAGGGACAGTCATACAGATGATATGAACAGATTTATGCTAGACACTGCCAATATATTTATAGCATGGGGAGCACGTGTTGCATAGCATATGCTACTTCATACATATATACATATATATTAATTCAAACATGCATGCTTACCTGCATGCATGATACTAACACTATACATACACCGCACAAACGAAAGCTTTTAAAGATTCCACTCACCTGCACGACTCGCAATATGATATTCTAGGCATATGACCATTAACCCGCGCCCCACTGGGGGGGGGGGGGGTTAATGGTCCCCTCCCGTTTTTCTGCAATAACTTCCAAACCGCTTGACAAATCGACGCCAAACTTTCAGTACCTTCGGCTGCATCAATTTGACACCTTGTGTCAAAATTTGAACTTCGTAGCTACTATAGGTCGGCCGGAAATGACGTCAGAGTGACGTCATGTTCGTCCGATTTCGACGCAAAACATTGAATCACGGCAATCGCTCCCAAGAGCTCAGTTTTTAAGCTAGATCCAATTTCTTTGCATGAAAGAACTCAGAATTGACCGCGCTATCAAACTGCTATATCGGATTTTCAAAGTTTTGAAAATTTCGAAAAAATTTTATATAATAATATTCAAAATTTATATTTTTATATTTTTTTCAAAAAGTTTTTGACTTTTCGAAAAAACCGGAATATATGTGACAGAACGCATGATTATGACTAACTCTAGCAAGTTTTAGCTAAATATCTTCAAAAATGGCCAAGTTATACGCATTATTGCAAAAAATTCACAATTATTAATTTTTCAAATCAATTTTTCAGTACGTATTTGGCATCGTACACCAATATAAATGGCACCATCGTGTTCCTGAGCTCAAACTGCATCCAATAGACACCTTTTTTTGTTGAAAAATTTCAACTTCAAAATTTGACCTTTTTTGACCTGAAAGTGACCTGACCTAAGCTAATTTCGACTCAAAATGACCTTGTATGACACAGACGACATCAAATTCGAAATCTATGGCCTAAATGGACCATAAAACATGTGTCACGTGACCGACGCATGATATAATATTTTCGTGACCTGTGATGACCTGACCCTGACCTGAAAATCAAAGTACAAGTTTGGTACCCTCAAGGTATCTAGAGCATCTGTTCACGAGTGTGGAAACCAAAAATGAGCCTGATCTGACTTGTAAGACGGCGGCCAGAGCCCAAAATGTGAACAAGCCAAAGTGCTAATAATTTTTACTTTGACCTGACCTGTGACGTCATCGGTGACCTCAAGGTCAATGAAATTAGGTTTCGCTCGACAGTTTTTCCGGGGCTATCAGACGCCGTTTGAATTTTGACGATCGGCCCAGTAGTTTCGGAGTTAGGAGGGGGGCTATGAATAGCCCCCCCCCCCCCAGTAGGGCGTGTTATACACAGACCCCAGTGGGGCGCGGGTTAAAGGTAGTGTGCCACCTTCCAATGATTTCCCATTTTATTTTTCCTAGGATAAGAAGCTTCTGTTTTTACCTAATATCGCAAAAAAAATCAAAAATGGGCCTAAAATAGTGTTGTTTTTTTTCGCCTAAAAGTTTATCGGTTTTTCGATATGTATAACAACTGTAGTGGGCTGACCTGCAAACAGGCGTCGGCAGCAATCGCGAATGCGGCGCACATGTGACAATAAGCAAAGGTCATTATAGAGTTACGACGTACGGGAATGAGTTATCAGCTGTCTAATCGTAGACAACAC